GTCTCCAGTTTCTTTTTTTTTTTTTTCCAATCCCCCCCCCCCCGGGCTTTGAAATTACTGTTTGAAAGTAATTTGTTCCATTACTTGTTTTCCTGGGGAAAGCATGACTCATTCTGTTACATATCCTCCACAGAACCTGTGTGGCCATTCTGGCTGAGGGATTCTGAGAGCGGCAGTACGGAAAGGTGATTTTTTTTCCCCCAAGCTCTGCAGAATAACCCCAGAATGTTATCATTCCCTAGGTAGCTATACAAACCCCATATGTTCCTTGTCTCTACCACTGTGGTAGTTATTTCCATGAAATATATCACAAAGTGCACAAATAAGAAGCAGGGACTTTTCTATTGTCCTGCTAGCAGTTCAAAACAAACAACTTGACATGACTTTGTGTTGTTTCAGTTAAGAGGAATGAAAGAAGTCTGTGTGTGATTCAGTTGGAAGAGAAGATTGTGTCCCCCAAACCAACAGAACTGAGATGACACCTACAGTGAGACAAATATACTGCCAGGACCAAACCTTCTCAAATTATAAGAACAGCCCACCCATAAATCGTCTCTGCTACCTGTAGTGTGTTTATTGGAACAATATTACCTTGAAACCAGAGTGTATTTTCCTCTCAGTATCCACAAATAGCACATTGTGAAAAGAGAACCGTGACTAATACTGATGTTCCTTCCTTGGGCCGCAACTCTAAAGGACCCTGGCTGAGAAGCTTATCTCTGACTTCATCTTAAGTACTGTCAGGTTTATCCAGGGAGGCCCCGTTGCAATCAGGATTTGAAACTGGCTTGCAAACCCTGGTCAGGAAGAAACCTTCCATCTAGGAGAAGGAAAACTCTGATTTCAAACCCCCACTGAGGCACCGCCATCGCTGTCCATGCCAGGAGGGAGTAGGCCGGGTAGGTGGAACTCGTTCAGCCGTGGAAGGCAGCCCATCTAGGAGAAGGAAAACTCTGACTTCAAACCTCCACTGCCTTGTGGCTATATCCACTCATGGAAAAGGCTTCAGGAGTTAACCTCAAGGCAAAATCCGGAGCCGGAGTCCCAGAGGCAGTTCCTGTCATTCTGTCACCTCTTGCGACGTCGCTGAAACCAGTTGTATTGGCTCTTGCCTTTCCATTGGAGTATTCCAGCGACGTGGAGAGGGGGGATTTGTTTGTTGGGTAACAGCCTATCCTACACATTATTTTACCCAGGCTTTGTGCCCTGGAGAGGACACTCCAGCTTCGCGTACAGCGTCAAAACACTAGACGCTGTTCCAAGTCCTCCATACAGAGCACATTACCATAGTCTCTCAAGACTGAAGGATGCCTATGAGGGGTAGAAATTTGCATTTAATAGCAGAGTGGCTATAGAAGAAGTGTATGCGATGTTACAGCCCACCTCCAGTTTTTCATTTGCACTAAGAGACTGGGGTATTTGTGTTCAGCTATTTTGCTCAAAACTTAAACATTGCTGTCATTTCAAAAATATTGAAGTCCATCTCACCACCAGCTAGCACATCTGTCCTACTTGTTGCTATGATGTATTAGTTTGTAACTGCACAAGCACAAACTGAATAGTACACACTGGCTCTATTCGGATCTAATGCTCAGTGCTTAAAACCTAAAATCTACCAGCTTAGATTACATATCTATGTATGAAGGGGTCCTCTCTTTGAGCCAACCCTAATACAGTACTAGATTAAGTACATCATAGTTAAAATCCTCTTGTACAGGTATGCAAAAGTTGTAACTTTTAGTGGCAAATTACCATAAATTATGAAATCTCTGTAGGCACTATCTGTTGCATTTCTAGTATCCATGTTTTACTGAATAACTCAGCTAGTAATTAAGCCTCAGCATGTGTATATGAGAGAAATTTGTTATTTCCTTCTTCTTCCATCAGGTCCGAATCTCCTTCTCTTCCTGTGTTGTTCACTCTTTAATCAACAGCAATTTTCTCCTGTGAGTTACCCCATTCCCCTTCCACAAGCGATCGAAGGGGAATAGGTGAATAGAGGATTAGTTGAATAAGCAAATGTTATTTCCCCCTAAAAGAAATATTATCAGAGGCAGAACTATGACCCTCAGAAATAGCAGAACGTTTTTTTACGGAAGAAAAGTTTGCTATTAAATTTTAATATATCATCTACTCAGAACCAAATGTGGACTCAAAACAGCCACATTCCGATCCTTTGTTATACAGCGAATGATCTGGGAAGTCAACAAGAAACACTAGATATCTTTCTCTGGTTAAGCCTGCCTGGCTTTTAAAGCTCCTAAATAAAACACCATAAACATCTGCAAAGTGCCAAAAGCTGTCAGATTATTCGTTATCAAATTGGTACAGGATGCAATGGCAACAAATGCAAATAATCATTTGGCTGCCCATTCACTAAAATGCCTTTTGGTGTTTCTATGAAACAACTCCTAAGAAGTTTGAGTTTATTTTGCAGAGTGGTGAATCCACTCTGGGTTTTACTCAGAACTTTACAAGAGTACTTAAAGGTGCTCATACTCCTAGCCCCCAAATAGGCTCAGCCTCCTTGATAGGACCTGTAAAGTCCTGACTACAACCTGAAGCAGATCCACTGATGTCATGGAATCAGAATCAACAGCCTCCCTAGAGTCAGAAGATATGAAGAGGCAGAGCTGACAGGAGACTGACGGGAAAAAAGCTACTAGCACTTCAACTTACTTAGGACTCTCCTGCTTGGCAAGTTGTTATACAGCTGTTCAGCATTGATCTGCAAAGCACGGTAAAACTCTTGACACGGTTTGTCGCCTTTCTTCTGCAAGTGGGCTATGAGATTTGACAACCGGCTATGAAGAGAAGCTTTGGGATTTCGAAACTGCAGGACAAAAGCACTGGTTAGAGAGAAGCCAAAAACTGGATTTCAGCACTGCAAATATAATGTCAAAGCCATCTTTTCCTACTTTTATGCCACATGAAAGACCACAAAGCTAGCTTTATAGTTTATTTAAGCATGCCTGATTCTGTATGAAGTTGCTTTTCATTTTTTAACTGACATGTTAGAAATCTGTTGTCTGGCTGGGATCAGCATATGCAGTACAGAAAATTCAAGGACCAGTGGTCCTCATCAGTAACAGCCACATACATAGCAACACTGGTGGGGGGGGGGAGAGAGAGAGAGAGAGAGAGAGAGAGAGAGAGAGAGAAAAGAAACCCCCTGCACCTAAGCACATCCTCAGTGGTATCGTGATCACACTCCCAGGTACAAATAGAGACGGGGAGGGGGGAGAGAGTTGTCCCACTGATGCTCTACATTAGGGGCAAACTATAATAAATGCAGGTACCCAAAGCAGTTTAAGAAATGGAATACATTTAAAATCTGCTTTAGAAAAAAACAGAAGAAGGTAACTCGTATGACCACTTGTCATATTTGTTTTTTATTTTACAGTTCCTTCTTCAAATCACTTTTCCCCACTGATCAGCCACCTCCAGAGTTCCAAAGAGCTGGTCCTTTTTAATTATTACACTTCTGTTCATTTATTACATTTTAATCCCACCTTTACACCAAAACAGCAGTCACAGCAGCTACCAAGCATAACTAAAAACAAACAAAAATTAATTAAATAATAAAGCCATTCAAATTATTGCAGCCATCACATTTACTGTGCATGCCCTCCATATTTGAATTCACTACTAGAGATGGAATATGTTTATCAACAACGGTGTTTATTAAACAGGAGTTTACTTGTAAAGCAGGAACATTGCTAAGTTGTACATAAAACCTTTCTTCTGAACTGGAACCAAACACAGTTCTTTTATTGATCCCCTTACTTTCTCCCCCTATTTTGTTGAACCATCCCTTGTTCCTCCATTACCTGGAAGGCCCACTTGAGAGACAGGGGTATCGCAACAGCGATGGGCTTATGCTTGGCTGCTTAAAAGGGGGAGCTATCCCTCCTTCTCGCTCCTCATAGAGGCTTGGGGGGCGGGGTTGACAGGCTGTCTCCTGAGAACTGGGCCAGGCTGAAGGATTTTGTGTTGAAGCTCTTCTCACAGCGCCTTCCTCTTCTCTCACCTCTCTTTCTCATCCCAGAAGGAGGGCTTATGACCAGCACAGTCTTTCTGCCTCAGCCTTGGGAACTCTTAACATGACCAGCTCCCCAGTCCAAGATGTCATTCCATTCCACACACTCCCAGTTCTCTCAAAGATCTGTTACCTTCAATACTTTAACTTCAGCCTGACAAGCTTCAACTTCCATTTTTTTAGCATTCCTCTGTATCACTTCTGTCTCTCCTCTCCTCTCCTCTTCTCTCCTTCTATTCTCCCTCCTTCTCTGGATCCTCCTTTCCTTTTATCTTCCTATCCTGTCCCCTTCCTTAAGGAATTCTTCCTCTCCCTCTGCCTCTTTCCCTGAATTTTATATTTTTTCTATGTTGATGTACAGGTTCATGCACATAATATTGAGGTTATAGTTAAATGTTGTGTTGCATGTTTGTATATTATTGATTTTTATTGAAAATTATTATTGTTGTTATCATCATCATCATCCTGTGCTTTGTTCGACACAGCTCCTCCTATATCTACTGGGAAGCTAGAGGTGGGAAAATCTTCCATGGCCATTGGGAGGTGAGATGGTCTACTGACAGGGGCCAGAATGCCCTTGCTCTCACCCTCCCTGTGCTTTGTTTGACACAGCTCCTCCTATATCTACAGGGAAGCTAGAGGTGGGAAAATATTCCATGGCCATTGGGAGGTCAGATGGTCCACTGGCAGGGGCCAGAATGCCCTTGCTCTCACCCTCACAGTCTTTAAAAGCCTTTAGAGATACATTTCAAATAGTGTGCATGGGTCCCAATTCCCAAGGTATTTATGTTTGCATAAAGATTATTAAAATTTCCTATGATTAAGTATATCCAAAGTTAGGATACCTTCATAATTCATATACCACTTCTAATGGACCCACATATTATGCTGTTTCCCTACTATCAGCTTTTGATTCTCACAGGATCCCAAGTTCATAACTCCAGTTTGCCAGCTGGCAGAAGAAGAGGGAATTATGTGGAAAGAGAGTGCGGTGAAAAGGTTAAAGGAAAAGTTAAAGATTCCCCTTGACATTTAGTCCTGTCGTGTCTGACTCTAGGGCACGGTGCTCATCCCCATTTCCAAGCTGTAGAGCCAGCGTTTGTCCAAAGACAGTTTCCATGGTCATGTGGCCAGCGCGACTAGACATGGAACACCGTTACCTTCCCACCGAGGTGGTACCTATTTATCTACTCACATGTTTGCATGCTTTCAAACTGCTAGGAGCTGGGACAAGCGACAGGAGCTCACTCCGTCGCATGGATTTGATCTTATGACTGCTGGTCTTCTGACCTTGCAGCACAGATGCTTCTGCGGTTTAACCCGCAGCACCACCATGTCCCGAGTTAATGGTTAAAGTGTTGGATAAAAACTGTCACTTCTCAGCCATGAAGCTCACTGGCAGACTTTGGTTCTCACAAAGCATTGAACAGGATAAAATAGTAGGGAGAGTCAAATACCTTTCAAATACATGAGAGGGGAGAAGTTAATAAGGTTAAACTCTGTTTCCATTGTTCCAATAAGAGGGGGGGGCAGGGCAAAAAGCTGTTAATCAACCATAATCCTGTTATCACTGTCCTAACTGTTCATTTATTTATTTATTTTTCATTAACGCAATCCTTCATGCCAAAGAAAAAATAATATGTGTCTGGAAATGCAAGATTCTTTAAACTACCTTTTCAGCTTCTTTATTGCTGAGAATTTGGGGGTAAACTCTGTTTAGCTGAAGAATAATTTTGTCAACCACCTGCTCGCTTAGTCTGTTGTTGCTTGTTAAAAAAGCTGTGTCCTGCCATAAACGATCACAGTATGTCAGATCTACAAAACAGAAGCAACACATTAAAAACAGATTATCACAAAGCAAGATTTTGAGATATGTACTGAATAATTCACTTTCAGTACAGAATATTTTACACTAGGATGTGGCATCAGACACCTTATAAGAACACCTTAAAGCAAGCCTCCTTAGAGTAGCAGACATTCATGAAATAATAATAGTATCAATGCTAACAAATGCTAAGAATCTGTACAGTGTATTTCATGGATTCAAAGCACTTCACACACACACACACACACACACACGTTCTTAATTAAAAGGACAAGAAACAAGGAGTCTAAGGTGACCTGTTGCAGTTTTCTTAGAAAGCAAAAATATATCTACTAGTCAGCCCTCATCCAATTGAGAAAAAAATACACCTGGGCAAAAGTGGCAAGCATAAAAAAAAATCACACCGCACAACTTCAAACAATGTCGGTAACTTCATTTTTCATCAAGTGTCCATACTATTTTCAATCTTTAAAATAATAATTTAAATTGATTTTTTTGCAATACTTTTTTGCAATCTCCAGTTCTACAGATTCAAATTTATTTCCAGCAGGCAGTTTCCATTTGTCCCATAAAATGCTGCAAACCCCCCACACACACTTTTTGCAGCACAACTGTACTCTGTGATGCTGGTGTAACATTTGACATTTTGGAGTACAATTAAAAATCTGTTGATATTTCAGTAGTAAGGTCTAGAACCCCAAAGGGAATAACTGGGATTGACTCTCAAGCCTAGATCTCTCTCCCTCAGATGCTTATGAAATCCTGGCTACTTTGGGAAATGAAAAACTGAATGCAAAGCAGGGCCTGAGAGATAGAGGGTGGTGTACACAAGGAGAAGTCTGTTGATTTTCTATGTATATTTAACAGAAGGTTCAAACTGCTTCCACCTCCAGCTTTGGACAAAATCCTCTTTTCTAGAATTGGAACACTTTTACATTCTCTACACTACCTTTGAATTCTGTCCCTTAAAAGGGAAACTGTGCTCCAATCTAACCTCAGACCTATTTCATATCCTACTTTTATTGCTGCATTGGCAGCCATGGGACTGTTTTCTCCACAGTGCCTCAAAATATAAATGCCTGCAATAAAGGAATGGCCATTTTGCTGTTAAGCTTTCATTGCCTTCACATCCCACATCCCTTTCTTTTTAATAATGTGATCTTCAACAGAACTGAAAAAGTATTCATAAAAGCCTCCTAGTGCAATAAGTAATAGCTCTTTAGGAGCCTGATTCATTCCCATTAAAAAAATAAATGCTGGCGCCTGAAACTGCTCAAATTTTTGCAGTTCTACAGATTCAAGTGGATTTCCAGCAGGCAGTTTCCATTTGCCCCATAAATTGAGTGGTTCTATAACTCCATGTTGTCTCAACCCATCTTGATAAAATTAATATACATATACTGTATGCTCTAATTCTTTGCTGGCTGGGACACAAGATAGTCTCCCCCACCCCCCACCCACCCCCCAAAAAAACAGGGTAAAAAGGAAGAATGAAGAAGGTAGGAGCCAGGGCAAACTTTAGGTTTTGAACAAACCACTAAGAATTGACAATCCTGGATGAGAAGAAACAGAATACAAGACGTAGTGATGCATTTAGCCTGTAGATGCAAGAGGATTGCAGCTATTTCACTGCAGGATAATTCCTACAAATAAATCTAGTCTCCAGAGGAGTAAATGTAGTTGCTTCAAGTTCTGGTGTATCCATCTTCTGCTAGTTCATTTTACTGTCAAAACCTCAAATATAAGCTCTTCAGAGCAGAAATCTGCTTTTTCCCTTTTCCTAACATCAGTGGAAAGCGCCATAAATGAACTTAACCACATCGGACCACACCCCACTACTATATCCTTCTGGAAATTCCCAATGTTACTTTTATGCATTTGAGAGCAACGCCCGTGTTTGAGGAAGGCTCTTTCCTTCTGCTCTGAATTCCTCACACGTATTTGTTGCATGTGGCAAACTACGTATCAATTCTGTAATTTCTTCCATGGCTGTGATTAGGCAAGTCCCATGGGGATTTTTTTTTAAGATTTTTTTCCTAGGGACAGTGAAACCCTACCATCCCTTTTGAAAGTAAACCCCTCCCCTTTCCAGAAAGACCTGCTGTTTAAGAAACCTGAGGCCACTCTTAAATGTGTTGAAGTTC